AAACGTTCGCCATATTCTGTTAAGGAAGGCCTGAAGTTCAGTGCGGTTTTGTGTGTACTAACTGATACTGCTCTAGGTATTACTTTTCGACTACTCTCAGCAAAAATAGTCATTTACTTTCTCCTGATTGCAAAGAGATAAGAGGATTCAGATTTGTATAGTAAGGACAGAAGGACTATGGCCTATGTTATTCCTTTTCCAGTATGCTTATATGAGCATCCAGCCCTCTCTTGAATGAGTCACTAAAAGTACAGACAACACTGCTTCGGGTAAAATGTTCCAAGAATTGATGACTCAGTGTGAAGACCCGTACGCCAGGCGTATTTTATTCGTTCTTGGCTTTTCTACTGGCCTGTTATGTCCTCTGAGATTCCCCGATCTAGTGGGGGGTTGCTGCCGGTCACAAGCCCGGGTAAAGGAGGAGGGTTGGGCATGGGGTTAGCGACCCCATCCCGTAGAAAATCAACTCGCTAAAAAAACGCTAACCAGAAAAAATCATTCAAACCTTTCAAACTCTGCCCTGGGAGTAGAAGGAATAATTATGACGTCTCATGATGAAAGCCGAGTTCATTCGGAAGTCATGGGGCCGATGCACTTTCTTACAACCAGAGCAACAATTTTTATAGGTACATGGAATGTCCGGACAATGTGGGAGACCGGCAGAGTCTTCCAAATTGCTGCAGAAATGAGAAAATACAACCTGGAGGTGCTTGGAATCAGTGAAACGCATTGGACGCAGGTTGGACAACAACGACTGTCTTCAGGAGAACTTCTGTTATACTCCGGTCATGGAGAGGAAAATACCCCACATACACAGGGAGTTGCATTGATGTTGTCCAAACAACCACAAAATGCACTTACAGGATGGGAATCTCATGAACCAAGAATCATCAAAGCCTCCTTCAAAACAAAGAAAGACGGCATTACAATGAACGTCATTCAATGCTATGCGCCTACCAACGACTACGATGAAGACGCTAAAAACCAATTCTACGATAGGCTGCAGTTGATCTTCGAGAAGTGCCCAACCAAGGACCTGACAATTCTGATGGGAGATTTTAATGCTAAGGTTGGAATGGAAGACACCAGATATGAAGACATCATGGGACAACATGGACTGGGAGAAAGGAACGAAAACGGTGAGAGATTTGCAAACCTATGTGCCTTCAATAAACTGGTCATAGGTGGCACCATATTCCCACACAAAAACATACACAAAGCCACTTGGATTTCACCGGATCACACTACACAGAACCAAATCGACCATATCTGCATCAACAAAAAGTTCAGGAGGACGATGGAGGATGAGAGAACCAGAAGAGGAGCTGATATAACATCCGATCATCATTTGCTGGTCGCTGAGATGAAACTAAAACTCAAGAAGCCCTGGACAACGGCGCGGACAACATCACAAAAGTTTAATACGGCCTTTCTTCGAGATGCTGACAAACTCAACAAGTTCAACATAGCCCTCAGCAACAGGTTCCAGGCCTTTCATGACCTACTCAATGGAGAGGGGACTACCATGGAGAGCAACTGAAAAGGTATCAAGGAGGCAATCGTTTCAACGTGTCAAGAGGTTCTGGGCCAAAAGAAGCACCATCACAAGGAATGGATCACTGTTGGTACACTGGATAAGATTGAAGCAAGGAGGAAGAAGAAGGCAGCAATCAACACCAGCCGAACCAGAGCACAAAAAGCCAAGGCACAAGCCGAATACACAGAGGCAAACAAGCAAGTGAAGAGGAGCATCAGAACCGACAAACGTAACTATGTGGAAGATTTAGCGATGACATCGGAAAAGGCTGCAAGAGAGGGAAACATGAGACAACTGTATGATACAACAAAGAAACATGCTGCAAATTACCGTAAACCAGAACGACCAGTGAAAAGCAAGGAAGGCAAAGTAATCACCGACATTGAAGAACAACGAAACAGGTGGGTAGAACACTTCAAAGAACTCTTGAATCGACCAGCTCCACTGAACCCACCCAACATCGATGCAGCACCCACAGACCTCCCAATCGATGTTGGCCCACCAACAATTGAAGAGATCAGCATGGCCACTAGACAAATCAAGAGCGGCAAAGCAGCGGGACCAGACAACATCCCGGCAGAGGCACTGAAAGCAAATGTAGCAGCAACTGCCAAGATATTCCACATCTTCTTCAGTAAGATTTGGGACGAAGAACAAGTACCAACAGACTGGAAAAAAGAACTTCTGATCAAAATACCAAAGAAAGGTGATCTTAGCAAGTGCGACAACTACAGGGGCATCACTCTCCTCTCAGTACCAGGAAAAGTCTTCAACAGGGTATTGTTAAACAGGATGAAGGATTCCGTGGACGCCCAACTTCGAGATCAACAAGCTGGATTTCGTAAGGATAGATCGTGCACAGATCAAATCGCAACTCTAAGTATCATTGGGGAACAATCAATCGAATGGAATTCATCACTCTACATCAACTTCATCGACTACGAGAAGGCATTTGATAGCGTGGACAGGACGACAGGCTTCTCCGACACTACGGCGTGCCTGAGAAGATAGTCAATATCATACGGAACTCCTATGGTGGACTAAACTGCCAAATCGTCCACGGAGGACAACTCACAGGCTCATTAGAGGTAAAGACCGGTGTTAGGCAAGCTTGCTTACTCTCACCGTTTCTCTTTCTCCTGGTGATCGACTGGATCATGAAGACGTCAACGACTGGAGGAAAGCACGGGATACAGTGGACAGGCAGGATGCAACTTGACGATCTAGACTTCGCGGATGATCTGGCTCTTCTATCACAAACGCAACAACAAATGCAGGAGAAAACGACCAGTGTAGCAGCAGCCTCAGCAGCAGTAGGTCTCAATATAAACAAAGGGAAAAGCAAGACTCTCCGATACAACACAATATGCACCAATCAAATTACACTTGACGGAGAAGCTTTGAAGGATGTGGAAACCTTTACATATCTGGGCAGCATCATTGATGAACACGGTGGATCTGATGCAGATGTGAGGGCGAGGATCGGCAAAGAAAGAGCAGCATACGTACAACTGAAAACATCTGGAACTCAAAACAATTGTCAACCAACACCAAGGTTAGAATTTTCAATACAAATGTCAAGACAGTTCTATTGTATGGGGCGGAGACATGGAGAACTACGAAAGCCATTATCCAGAAGATACAAGTGTTTATTAACAGCTGTCTACGCAAGATACTTCGGATCAGATGGCCAGACACTATCAGCAACAAGTTACTGTGGGAGACAACAAATCAGATTCGAGCGGAGGAAGAAATCAGGAGGAAGCGCTGGAAGTGGATTGTGCACACTTTGAAGAAATCACCCGATTGCGTCACAAGACAAGCCCTCACATGGAATCCTGAAGGTCAACGGAGAAGAGAAAGACCAAAGAACACATTACGCCGAGAAATAGAGACAGACATGAGAAGAATGAAAAAGAACTGGATGGAACTAGAAAAGAAGGCCCAGGACAGAGTGGGTTGGAGAATGCTGGTCGGCGGCCTATGCTCCATTGGGAGTAACAGGCGAAAGTAAGTAAGAAAATCATTTCTTAGTATTTTATGCATCAAAATCAGATCATCTCATAATCTGCTATAGGACAGTGTAAAGAGGACTAGCTTTTTAAGCACCCCTTTGCATGTTAAACCCCGGAGCTCTGGAAATGCAGGGGCATCTGACCTCTGTACTTTTTCCAGGATATTCGAGTCAATTTTAAAGTGCAGCCTTGATTCAGTCTTCAGGTTTAGTTCTCACTAAAGTTGTGTATACTGTGGTGAACATAGTAGTATCTAACTTAGTGAATGTCCCTTTTAAAGCCCATAGGGTTGTAAACCCTTTAACTGCAACCTCCCGGCAATGGGCCGTGGCCTTAAGATCATGACTCACTGTCAGCCCGAAATACTTGTGAGACTGGACCACGGGTACAGGCACTCCTCCTATGCTGTACCTACTCAATTTTGTATCCCCAAAGTGCATGTGGACACACTTTGCTGCTTTGATAGGCATCAGCCACTCTTTAAACCAGTTAATCACAATATTAAAGTCTGCCTGAAGTGTGTATGCATCTGCGTCTCCTGTTATTTTTCGCCAGATTTTTACATCGTCAGCGTAATATAACATTGGGGACTCTACTATACATGGAAGATCATTTACACACAGTATAAAAGTAAAGGACCCAGGACAAGGTACTCCACTCATTACTGGTCTCCAGGTGGAGCGCTTCGAATTTATTCTTACTTTACGTCTATGACCCACTAGGAAATCCTTAAGTCATAATAAAAGAGGTCCGGCAATACCAATATTTTCTAGCTTCAAGAGTAGTCTATTAGTTGGCACCTTGTCAAATGCTTTGCTAAAGTATATGTAGACTACATTCACTGATTTTTCACTGTCGTGAGTCTTTGTTCAGTGTTCCCTTGTTATAAGGAGGTTTGCTGTGCAAGACAAACCTTTCTTGAAACTTTGTTTGCTGTTTAGCAAGTTGTTGGTTTCCATTATGGTCTTTTTGACCATTCTTTGCAGTATTTTAACTACGACATTGGTGAAGCTGATAACTCTGTAGTTCTATGGAAGTTGCGTTAATTCTGTTTTATGTATGGGAGTGACGATTGCATCCTTCCAGTCCGTGGGTAGCACACCTTGGTCAAGTGACATATTGAATATCACAGTCAGTGAGGCTGCGATATATCGTACAATATGTCTCAGGATGTTGGGACGTAATTTATCCGGTCCTGCTGACTTTTCCATGTCTAAGGTGCTAAGAGCCTTAAGTACATCGTCTTGACCAAAGTCCACGGTGAGCAGACGGTTTGTTGACTTTGCATTTGGGTTTGGTTCTTCGTCTAGATAAGGTTCCTCAGTGAAAACCATAACTATATCTCGCCACAAATTGTGAAATTTAGCTGATCACAAGATGGTGTTTCAGAGGAATAAACAGTTTTTTTGTTTCTGTTCAACATGGTTTGTATTTGAGAGTTCGCACATTCTCAATTATGTTAGCCATGACCTTCAGAATCATGGTCATAATCACTTCATGTGTTTGCTCCCTGAGTATTCTTCCTTAATAGCTAGCCGATATCCCTTGGTACGTATAAATATGTATATCTATATATGTATGTATAAATATCCGAAAATTATGACTTAACAAATGCTTTGACGAGTAGATGTTTGGAATTACATATCCCAACTATGTAAGGCCGCACTTAGAATACTGTATCCAAGCAGCTAGCCCATGTCTGATAAAAGATACTAAATCACTTGAGCTTGTACAGCGTGTGGGTACAAAATTAATAAAGGGTCTTTCTAAACTCCCTTACGATGAGCGTTTGAAACACCTAAACCTTTTCCCCTTATCATAGGACGCGAGGTGACCTAATACTGGCATTTCGTATCTTTAATTATGATTTGGGTGCTAATATGTCTTATCTTATTGCTCTCTCCAGCACTAATAATCTTCGAGGTCATAGCAAGAGGGTTCTGAAACCGCGATCTAATAAACTAAAGGTGGGGTCCCGTTTTTCTCATCGAATGGTCAATGACTGGAACGCATTACCAGAACAAGTGGTATCAGCACCATCAGTGAACATTTTCAAGAAGTAGCTGGATCTTCACCGGAAGGAAATCTGTCAGGATTAACACAGGTTCATCAACCTACTATCCTTATTACTGAAGACTGACCGGTGGAAATGAAGATTTGTAGATAGAAACGCGAATGACTATATTTCACTGCAGTAAAATGTAGCGCTTCGTAATAAAAGTAACTTTAACTTCAAGGGGAGCATTTAAAAGCTCGGGATAAGTACCTGTTAATATCATTACTTAGTTTAGTACACGTCAGTGTCCACTGCAAAAGACAACTGCATGGATCTAATCACCGTTAAGGTCATCACTTATGAGATTAGCTTAGCTGGTAGAGCCCTTTGCTTTCCGTCTTTGTTTATTATTTTGTGCTAATGACATGTTTTAAAATCACAAATATCACATGGGAGCACGTACACTGGACATTTGTCGAGTTTCCTATTATCCACAAATTAGAGCTAATGGATTACGTTTGTGACTAGTTCAAGAAATAAAACTGATAGGTACCATTCAGCTTCTAGGAATCAGTTAACACCTTGCCTTATAAATACTGATTGGTTGAATTAATTTTCAGATCTGGGAACCACGACGTTTTGACTGGGTGACAAAAGGTCCGGTGTCCGTAAACGGGATTAGTCCAATCAGTTATTGTAAAAAAGGGGTCTCCAAGTGTCACTATTTGCATTTGTATAGAACCAATGTGGTTTCCTCCAGTTAGTGATAATCCCACACCTTTCAACATTGAGAGAGAGTTGCTTCCTACTGTAATATCGGAACCATCATCCAAAACATCTAGTTTATCTTCAACTACTGGCACTTTGGACCGTGATTCTTTAAAGGAGAACTGCCCACAATATACCCCACAAAACGTCAGATACCAGCACTATCCAGTTCCGGTAATTAAAAGCACTTTTTTCATGTGCCATCTTGTGTTTATGAAATATATTCACATAGGTTGGTTGTCACTTCCTTTTTCTCGTGAACTTTTCTTACCATTTTTTGTGCACACAATTTGTTATCCAATACTCGATGAATTAATTGGGATCGACCTAAAGTTGAAATTTCCAGAATATCCTCCTAGATACTAGTTACGAAGGTTATTCCACTTGTACAAAGAACCGTAATGGAGTCGGTCTACTTACCTTCCGTAACAGTTGCATTATTGATCGTCCATTTTAATACAGCTTATTGAACGATGATTGTTACTGATTTGTAGATGAACACCGATGACTCCACTTATAAGTTAATTATAACTGATAACCAGATATATTGATCTGTACATGGTTATTAGGTCATTGGAAGCTTGTCTGAATATTATTGCATATGTCTATGAATAATAAACTAAAGTCATTAAGGTCTGGGAAGACTTTCAATTTAAGTTTCTACACCATATCAACATAAAGAGGAAGCCGATAAAAAAATAAGGGAAAAATGACACCACTAGTGTAAAAATAAACAAGCGTATTATATTAGCAGTAAACAAAATCAAAGGAAGATTTTTTAAAAGTAACTTTAAGCTCATAGTTTGGAGTTGTACTGTCAACAACACCACGGTTACTAATGGTCGTCAACTTAGTTGTTGATAGAATGGGTTTATCTCATTAATTGTTTCATATTTTGTGGATTTGGGTTTTCGTTGGTGTAAGTTCTCTCCATTCTCAATTTTTCGACATAAAATCTGAATAAAAGCAATCGTTTAAGAACTTGAAGGTAAGTGATGGGTGGCGCTAATAGCGGCTTTAGTAATCAGTCTGTTTCCGTAAAATTTTATCACTTCGTGGATTGTATGTTAGAATTCGTATAGCTTACTATGATTTCCTATCCATCAATTCAACTTGAACTTATCGATGCGAATATCGCCTTTCGAAGTAATTAGCCGGAAACACCACTCGATTACGTCATTCGTTGCTGAACTAGCTTATTTAGGTGTTTATGCCCTTAGAGATTGTAAAGCGTTTGAATGTGCTTCAAACAGATCTTAGTTAGACACTAGTGATTAAAGTTTTGTCTATACCTGACATATTTATGTTGCTCGTGTTAGAGTTCTGATTCTTGGTAAAGCTAGTGATGTTGGTTGGAGTAAGTTGGCAATTAAAATAGTTTGAGGGTGTAATAAATATGTTGTGCAAACTTCGATTTACCGAGTGCATATATTGTTAGATAACCGGTTAATATATTCTGTCTAGTTAGTCTATTTTCTGATGACATTAAGTTGTATGTAGCCACTATATTAATGAAAAACAATTTATCTCATATAGATAATTAACTAAGTTATAGCGTGAACAGGTAGCTAATGATATCATCGTCCCTTATTTGAAGCTTTTAAGATATCAGTTTTTTTAATGGACGAGCTTTATGTAAAGAGATCATCTCAAGGACAGTTGATAGGAAGAGCATATGGTAAGAAAACGTGTAATGCGTAATTTCAATGTTTCAGTCTCCGGCTAAACATAAGACAAACTTAAATTCAGTGAATTTAGCAACTGATTACCACGTTAGTAGCGAAACCAACGTTTTATGGCTAATAGTTCACTTTTTTTTAAAAAGGAATACAATGTAGAAGATACTTTTTGAAACATTGTTCTAAAAGACTAATAAAATGCAAATTCAACATTGTTTTATCGATTCAAGTAAATTTACTAAAAGGTCATTAAGGAAGAATGCAAATTTTAGCTAGTTGACAATGCTATGCTTACCACGTATTATTACTATCAATCATATGTAATATTTTTTAAACATATTTTCCAGAAGGTCAGATGCTTGTCATTCCCATACCAAACACTTCCCTCCTGTGGGTCGGCAGTGTATTTGTATACGTGGTCTCTCCCAAGGAGTGACATAATGACTCAGCTATGTTCACTTGCCGCAGCATGTTTCCGAGATACAAGCACGACCGTCGGACTTTTGTTTTCTAAACCAATATCCAAAGTAATTATATGTGCATGAATATCTGTGAATTATTTCTGTATGTTTCGATTTTGTGCTTAGGTATTTTATGGGACATTTTTCTGCTTATCAGCGTGATCGTGCAATTAGCAAGCTATGGTGGTTCTAATTGGCTCTATAATTAAGCCTTATTTTCCTAAGATTTTGTTAACGAAATAAATAGGTCTTTGTAGTCTTTGCATTCACTAGGGTAAGTCGATCTATTATGTTGTGTCTGCTTTTAGCAAATGTGACGGTGTTCTAGAACACCGTCACATTATCACAGGTCAACAATCATAGTGTTTCTTGATATCAGGGCTGCCTTCGATTCGTTGGACAGGACTGTTCTCTGGGATTGTTTATTGAAGGAGGCTGTGCCTAAGAGGTTTATTAACATCTTAAAGGCCCTGTACACAAACACCTCAGGCAGTGTGAGGGCATACAACCACCTTTATCCATTGTTCCATTCAAGCAGTGGGGTTAGGCAGGGTTGCCCAATCTCACCATTCCTCTTCAACTTTGCCACCGATGACATTCTGGAAACAGCTCTGATGGGTGTAAGTAATGGCGGTGTGGATCTGCTGCCTGGAGAAAGACTTCTCGACCCTGAGTATGCGGATGATATTGTCTTACTGTGCGATAATACCCAAGCCATGCAATCCGCACTTAATCAGTTGGCAATCAGTGTCCGCAGGTACCGTATGTACTCTCCACCTTCGTAGTGTAAAGTACTCCTACAAGACTGGCAGGATTCTAATCCTGTGCTCACCCTGAGTGGTGAGCAGATTGAAGTAGTTGAGAAGTTCGTGTATCTAGGTAACCGCATAAGTGCTGGTGGGGGCGTGAGTGATGAGATCGATGCACGTATAACGAAAGCCAGAGCGGCTTATGCCAATCTGGACCATTTTTGGCGCCTTCGTGATGTTAGTTTGGCTGTTAAAGGTCAAGTAAAGTCGCTTGCGACTTCGTGAAACGTTCCGCTTACAAGCACTGGGTTTCTACAGGCTCTGACAACTCATTGAAGCCTGTACGTCTACTTCAGGTGACCGTGTGTTTGACCATAAACGAAGACTTACGTAATGAAATTGTGCAAAACTTGAGTAAGGACCGAGAAGCCTGGTGGTCGGAGCGTGCCAACGAGTTCGAAGCAGCAACTGCTTCTGGTAACTGCCGGAAGCTCTCTCAACTCATCTGAGCCACTGGCAGCAAGAAGTCTGATGTGAGCGAAACGATCTGTGAGGATGACGGGATGCCAATCACTAACATTCATCGACGTCTTGGATGATGGGCAGGGTTTTTCGAGTGGCAGTTCAACTGGCCTGCTGCTCCGGCAACATCGATCAGACTGTCCTGTCCTCCATGGCCTCTGACGATTGATTCACCAAATGACCTACCTCCAGCTTTTTTCTAAAGATAGTGGTGACTTTCTAGTTAAGGAACTGACTACGTTGTTTACAAAGGTTTGGGAGCTAGAAAGTGTTCCAACATCATGGAACTAGTCGATAGTTGTCTCTATCTTTAGAAAGGATTCACGTCACTTATGCAAACACTATCCGGGATAAGTCTACTTCCGATTGCGTCCAAACTATTGGCTTCTGTCATTCTTCGTAGGTTGTTTAAAACCCGAGAACGATTGACTCGCGAGGAGCATGCTAGTTTTAGTTTTGGTTGAGGATGTATTGATCATATCTTCACCCTATACTAAATGTTAGAACACTGTCATACTTATCACAGGCAAAAAGTCGTAATGTTTCTTGACATTAGGGCCATCTTCGATTCGTTGAACAGGACTGTTCTCTGGGATTGTCAATTGGAAAAGGGTGTACCTGAAAAGTTTACTAACATCTTGAAAGCTCTATATACTAACACCTGAGACAAAGTGAGGGCATACAGCCATCTCTCTCCACTGTTCCATTCAAGCAGTGGGGTTAGGTTAGGTTGCCTAATCTCACCATTCCTCTTCAACTTTGCTATCGATGACATACTAGAAACAGTTCTGATAGGTGTAGGTAGTGGTGGTGTGGATCTCTCGAACAAGACTGACAGGACCCTGATCCTGTACTCACCTTGGGTAATGAGCAGATGGGATTAGTCGAGAAGTTCATCTATCTGGGTAGCTGAGTAAGTGCTGGTGGTGGTGTGAGGAATGAGATTAATTCACGTATAGTGAAAGTCATAACGGCTTATGCCGATCTGGTCCATCTTTGACACCTTTGTGATGTTCGTCTGGCTGTAAAAGGTCGGATCATCAACGCGTTTTGTGTGGCGCATATCTATTTGGTGCCCACTTGTACCAATATTTATGTTTAAATAAAATAAGTAAATAAATAAATTTTAGCAAATTTTTAGTTGTCAAAAGTTAACTAGTTATGTGTCATATTAGTCAGTCAGTCAGCGACAACGTAGGATCAGGCACATATATGCATCGGTCCACAGAGTCAAACGCTGCTTTTAAGTCAAGAAAAACTATCATTGTCAGACGCCGATAAGCACGTCTGTGCTCTAAAACTTGACGAATGGTGAATATGTGGTCGATGCAGCCACGACCAGGTCTGAAGCTAGCCTGATTTTCTCGTGTTTGCAGTTCACGAGTCTTAGTTAGGCGCCCGATAATTATTGAGGCTAGAATTTTAGATCCTATGTTAGTCAGACTAATCCCTCTATGGTTACCACAGGATGATTTTGGCCCCTTCTTATATATTGGGACAATTAGAGATTGTGACCAGTAAGATGGGATTACGTCCGTCTCCCAGATTTTAGCTAAAATACTAGTCAAGCTGATCGCTGAAACTGGACGATCATATTTAAGGACCTCTGGAGTTGGTCCATCTGTGCCAGCTGCTCTTCCTCGTTTCAGATTACTGATAGCCTTTTGAACTTCAAGTAGGGTCGGGGGGCCTACTTCAATGTTCCGTTCAAGTTTTCTGGGAATAGTGGGTAGTTGTGTAGTAGCTGAAGGCCAGCTAAACTGCTCCTTAAAGTGTTCCGCCCATCGTTCTAAACGTTTGGGTTGAGAGCAGATAAGAGTTCCGTCTTTTTCCGAGATTGTCTCACTTACACTTGACTTCTTAATTCCGGTTTCTTTTATTAGTCTGAAGAGTTGCCTGGTGTTGCCTACAGCCGCTGCATTTTCCATCTCTTTTGCTTTCGTTGCCCACCAATGCTCACGATCGTTCCTTAGTTAACCTAGATCTAATTTGTTTACGTTCTTCGTCGTGTTCACAGCCTGATGGGATGAGATTCCGCGAATCCATCAGTGAAATAGACTTGGAAGAAATCCATTGGTTTTTTGGAGCCCTATGGTTTAAATGACTAATAGATGTGACTGCTGTTTCCCCAGCTGTCCGGCTAAATGGCTCCGTAAAAACTCGGAAGGATAGGGACACACGTCGTTGCCTTTTCGTCGTTTCTGCCTACCCTCCCACCGACTGCAGCCATGATGAAGTGAAAGGTGACTTTTACAGAAAGCTCTCTGAGCTTCAGAAAGCTAAGCGCTCAGACATAGTACTCATAGCGGGTGACTTTATTGCCCAGGTAGGCAGCTTGAATCAAACAGAAAGACATTTAGGTGGGTGTTTTAGTATTCCGGCTCAACGAACCGATAATGGTGATCGTCTGTTGCAACTATGCTCAGACAATCGTTTATTTTTAGCAAGCACTAATTTTAAACATAAGGAGAGACATCGTCTAACATGGCGACCACCTGCACCAAACCAACAATGGACTCAAATAGACCATATTGTCATCAGTCATCGTTGGAGAGGCTCAATAGAAGATTGTCGCTCGTATTGGAATACTTGTTTAGACTCTGATCACGCTTTAATACGAGCGCGCATTTGTCTGCGCCTCAATGGACGCAGGAAAAGTACACTAAGAAGACCCATTAGGATTGAACTGCAGGACGAGAAAGCCAAATGTAAATTCCAGAAACAACTGAGTTCACATCTAGGCAGTTCTGTAAACGAGACTGACCCAGATGCTGCTTGGAAAGACATACGAACAGCTGTGGAAACAGCAGTTACATCTATTAGTCATTTAAACCATAGGGCTCCAAAAAACCAATGGATTTCTTCCAAGTCTATTTCACTGATGGATTCGCGGAATCTCATCCCATCAGGCTGTGAACACGACGAAGAACGTAAACAAATTAGATCTAGGTTAACTAAGGAACGATCGTGAGCATTGGTGGGCAACGAAAGCAAAAGAGATGGAAAATGCAGCGGCTGTAGGCAACACCAGGCAACTCTTCAGACTAATAAAAGAAACCGGAATTAAGAAGTCAAGTGTAAGTGAGACAATCTCGGAAAAAGACGGAACTCTTATCTGCTCTCAACCCAAACGTTTAGAACGATGGGCGGAACACTTTAAGGAGCAGTTTAGCTGGCCTTCAGCTACTACACAACTACCCACTATTCCCAGAAAACTTGAACGGAACATTGAAGTAGGCCCCCCGACCCTACTTGAAGTTCAAAAGGCTATCAGTAATCTGAAACGAGGAAGAGCAGCTGGCACAGATGGACCAACTCCAGAGGTCCTTAAATATGATCGTCCAGTTTCAGCGATCAGTTTGACTAGTATTTTAGCTAAAATCTGGGAGACGGACGTAATCCCATCCGACTGGTCACAATCACTGATTGTCCCAATATATAAAAGGGGGTCAAAATCATCCTGCGATAACCATAGAGGGATTAGTCTGACCAACATAGCATCTAAAATACTAGCCTCAATAATTATCGGGCGCCTAACTAAGACTCGTGAACTGCAAACACGAGAAAATCAGGCTAGCTTCAGACCTGGTCGTGGCTGCATCGACCACATATTCACCATTCGTCAGGTTTTAGAGCACGGACATGTTTGTCGGCGTCTGACAATGATAGTTTTTCTTGACTTAAAAGCAGCATTTGACTCTATAGACCGAGAGGTTCTGTGGCAGTTTCTGTCATTGAAAGGTGTACGTCAGAAGTACATAAACCTTGTGAAGGCTCTTTACTCGAACACTACCAGTCGAGTGAGAGCTTATGTCGGACTGTCATACGATTTTACAACCTCACGTGGTGTCCGTCAAGGCTGTCCACTATCCCCACTTTTGTTTAACTTCATTATAGACCTATTGCTGGAAATAACACTCTCGTCGACAGAATTTTCAGGAATTGATCTCCTACCAGGGGGACCACTAAGCGACTTAGAATACGCAGATGACATAGTCTTGTTTGGTGAAGATGTTGACAAAATGCAGTTTTCTGTTAGAACTGAGTAGTAATGCCAGGATGTTTGAGATGCATTTCTCCCCATCTAAATGTAAATTGTTACTCCAGGACTGGCCTGCGTCAACCCATGAACTAAGGATAGAGAGTGAAGTAGTCGAACACGTCGACAACTTCACTTATTTTGGAAGTCTGATCAGCACGGATTCAAAAAGCTCGTTCGGCTTTCACCAACTTACGTCACCTATGGAGAAGACGAGATATCCGTCTATCAATTAAAGGACGAGTATACTGCGCATCAGTTCGCTGTTCTAATTTACGGCTGTGAAACATGGCCATTAAGAGTAGAAGATACTCGTATGTTACTAGTATTTGACTACAGATACCTTAGAAATATTGCTCGCATCTGCTGGGATCACCGGCTAAGTAATAGTGAGGTTAGACGCAGAGTATTAGGGAATGATGGTAAATCAGTTGATGAAGTCATGAACGTTCATCGACTGAGATGGTTGGGCCATGTGTTACGTATGCCTGAACACCGATTACCACGACGCGCAATGCTGACTAGTGTAGGGGATGGCTAGAAGAAAGTTAGGGGCGGCCAAACCAAAACGTGGCATCAGTGCTTGAAGTCACTAACTTCTAGTCTGAGGCATGTTGGTAGATGTAAACTACTTGGTTGGGGTCCGTGTGACTATCGTAACCAATGGTTGGAGACTGGGTGACATGGCTCAGAATCGATCACAATGGTGTGGGTGTATATACTCGTTATCGGGGGACTCAATATAGACGATACGTGTAAGGTATTCATGCTATTGAAATCATGGTTTCAAGTTGACACTAATTGGGTTATATGGAATTCACGTTTTATATCTGATATCACTTGCTCATTGTTTCCGTCAGCTGTGAGCTATCTTTTTGTAATAACAATTGTTCAACACAGATAGAAGTCAATTATTGACTCAGGGTTCAGTTTTTTGGGATGTTAAACGAAACTGCTTACATTACACACCATTATACGGCTCATTTTCGGAGAGGTATCTCAATGGAACGAAATAGGCTGAAATTATCATGATGCAAGCTAGGATTTATGTGCCACGCCACCATCAGTTTTCCGTACGCGCTATTTGTTCTTTATTTTAGAGATACTGCTTGTTGGTTTAAGCATCTCTGACCTGTGAATTCTAAGTTTGAACTCGCGTCACCGATTTTTGAACACTTAATTAGTATTATTAACCTTAAATAATTAGTATGATCAACATAGCTTTGATTTACAAACTCATATATGGTTACCGAATCATATTCTATTTCCTTTATTGTAACAATATTTCATCAGAAGAAATCAAAAAGTTCTCAAACTACAGCTAATCAACAAATTGTCTATTTTCTCATTTTGAAATACCAATAGAAGGGTTACGTTTGTCGAATTCCCCTCTACCTAACTCGCGGTATGGCTCGTTCACGTGTTCGATTAACTGGAAAATTTACACTAAGTGAGAAAGAATTAAAGTGTGTCGAATCAGCTCATCATGTGATAGCCGAATTAATCACAAATATTGCTCATATGTCTCATGTGGGTTATAAACCATCAGATCCTCTTCTCCGTGCCCATTTCGATAGACAAAACGCTTCAACGAATATCCCCGAATCTCTCCGCGTCGTACTTTTTGATCGATTTGGTGACTTATCATTCAATCCCGAGAAAGCAAATATCCTGTCATTGGTGACGTTGATTCGACTACCAGGTAAACCGTACAAAGGTTTTAGTTATGTTACTTTTTAGAAATTCTGTTTAAGTGTTAGTACTAAAATGAATGTTGTTTAGGGTCTATAGAAATGAAATAAATATTGTAATAAGTGGCATGTTTAGACCAAATAGGACATTTTAATTATAAACAATATAAAAAGGCTTCTGTAACGTAGTGGTGAAAAATCGTAGGCGATTACGTGCTGAAATAACTGAGCACAGGTGGACGATAATAATAAATAATGACTTAAAATAAGTCAATTTTCGGGAAGAAAAAGCAAATTGGAAAAACGTCGAGAAATATTACGGTGAAGAAATGAAAAGGAGTTTAGTGTTATGAAAATAAGCTTTATGTTCCTAGGGCAAGAAAAAAATGACAGTCACTTCTTATGAACAGAAATCGGGTTTCGTATATTTGATACCTGTAGCTTCAATGTTCCGACACATTTTGTTTCGTATCGTGATCTGATTTACAGTATCATAGGTTACCTTGACTTTTACGGTTAAGCCAGATATCATGAGATTTACTTGTGTATTTGCTCCTGTGTGTTTTAATTGTGTAGAGTACCAGTCCCAATTGTTATTTTCCCCGAACTTCTACTGTTTATTAACCTTTGTTGGTTCATGTGGATTGTTTTGTGCTTATTATGTTCGGTGAATCCCCTGGTTGGGAGCGTCATAACTGGAGGCTATTATTTTATTATTATTATAGTATCTGTATGTACCGAACTTCATTGTAGCCTTTGAAATGTTCCGGTTGTTTCTTGAATATAACGAATAAATCTGGTGTATTTAAATCTTACAACTTCCGCGTTTCGCTTCTAGGTAAACGTCTCTAACATTGTCTTTCATATTCTCATTGATGACATTGTAAAGTTTGACTAAACGAACTTACGAATTCGCAAATTTCTGCTGCTAAACTAAAATATTGTTATAAACTAACTATTTAGGGTTTTTTGGTTGGAAGTACCACCTTTAAACACAATGTACGTCATTTTGTGTCCTTGATATTATGTTTAGTGCCAACTTCTTGTGTACATATGCTGCCAATAATTAGTTAGTCAGTCATACACAACATAGGACTTAGCGCGTATGTGCATCAGTTCGAGTTGGCACACCACACTAAGATTGCGGTATGAAAGTATCAGGACGTCCCTGAGGAGGGAAACAGTCATATTATTAGTAGTAGGAAAGACGAGAAGAGGCATAGGAAGGTTTTGAGGCTAAGGATGTAAGGGATGACGAAGGGTAAATACACCTGCTCGTCTCAGTTGATCCTGGGCAGTTTTATCCATCGTTTCACACCACTGATTATGGTAAATGCCTAACCTCCAACCAGGTAGTCTGCACCTATCTACATAGATAGGTCCAATTATCAATGAAGTCATGGGCTGATGCCAGGTTTTAGTTTGACCGTCTCTATCTTCTACACCAACGTTGAGCATCGAGGTAGGAAGCGGTTGAGCATACGTGACACATGTTCCAACCACCTTAATTGGTGAACATTCAGCACTCCATTGACCAACTTGCCATCTTCATTTACAACATTGTCTCTAACCTCAATATTGCCCACTCGGTGGTTTCAACACATACGCGCAATGTCTCAAAGTTACGTACGTACATCCTTCGTTCTTGGTGACGTTTCATACCCATAAGCTAGGACAGATCGAATCGCCACATATTATGCTGCTCCTTTAATTGTGAGATCAGCATCTACTCAGTGAGATAATTATTCAGTGGCTTATTCATCTATTTCAACTGGTATCTGCCTCTATGTAATTAGATTAATCTATCATACCAACCCAATTTCTTTACACTAACTTATTTTCATTTATTTATTTTTTGAATGGGGATTTGTGTAGATGGTAGTAATTTTGACAGTTTTAATTCATGAGTTGATCTAAGCTAGATCACCATTGAAAACCTGGAAGCACCGGACGGCTGACTCGTCCTGGTAAGGGACTCCTCAGCAACTTAGGTCGACTCGTGAATTCAACTGTTAACATTATTAAAATCTCCACGAATCCCCATTTTTATAATAATCATGTGCTTACTGGTGATTATTTTTAAGATGGATTTCCTGAAGTTCTAGTGAGAAACAGTGACCAGTTGAGTCCAATCTGTGTCGGGTGTGAGACAGTTGTCCACCAATGGATGTAGGGTTGGACAAGATCATGGTTTGGTTGAAGTTAAACATTAACACCGTTCGATGCCGGCCCAGTGGTCTAGTTGTTAAGCGTTCGCGCGCGAGACTGAAAGCGTTAGGTTCGAGTCCCGCGTGTGGAATCGTGAGTGTGCACTGCTGAATAGTCTAGTGCCAGGACGAAACAACAGTCTGGTGCTTGCAGGTTTTCACTGGTGATCTAGATGAACTCATGAATTCAGCTGCTAAGATTTATTTATTTGTTAAGGTCTTATCATTGACAGCGAGTATCGCAATGATATGATTGTTAGGTAATATGTTTTCTTAGGGGGAGTAATGTTACGTGCTTCTGATATGTGTATTAGATTCCGATAGTGCCAGAGTATTTATCGTGTATGGTTAACATTTTATTGTGGTAGAACGTTATGGTAGTTATTATTATTACTTAAACACAAATATTGGTACAAGGAAGCACCAGATACATATGCACCTCACAAATCTCATTTGATTTGTGTGAGGGCTGTGATATCGGCCAGGTGCCCAAACTGAAGCAGGTGGTTTTCTTAGGGGGCCACACCCCAAGCCTTTGACCTGAATGTCTGATCCACAAGGCAGTGGAGCATCGTAAGGAGATGCAGTCCCATGGTAACCGGTGACCAACGATTATTTCATACGCCATTTGTTACTTCCGGATACTGGAGCCCATGTGCACCATCGGTTTGGAATCAGGGTTTTCCAACTCCCCTAGGTGAACTTTCCATGTCCACCAACCCGGTTAAAGCACCGGACATTAGCTTTTCGTTCTCTCAATTTCGTAAACAACACCCTGGTGAGAGATGGCAGTGAGTAGGACTTCCCTGGCAGAGGCTATGTATTTGCGTGGCCATGTGAGAGCATTTCGAGAGGGAGAGCGGACTCTCCCCACTCTCGGCTGTACCAGGGCATTTGGGGGCGTTAAGTTTTTTTGAGTGCGTAACGGGGGTAGGTTCGGAAAGACACGTTCAATCTAATTTTCCTTGTCACCACGGCTGATCGATCACAAATCAGAAATGATATTTCGCTTTTTGAACACAAACCTAACGATCAACATTTTAATTATGCTTCATCGAAATCATAAAAAACCAATGTTAAAGCATCATTGAAAGACTGGATGGCCGTTTCTTCCTAGTACGGCACTCCTCAGCGGTGAGCATCCACGATCGTGCGCGCGAATGCTTAACGCCTAAGCCATTGAGCCGGCGTCCTACGGTGTTAATGTCCAACTTCAACCAATCCACGATTTTAATTATGCTCCAGTCAGGTGACTAAGACCCTACCTTTCACTGTGTAAGTGGCTAAAATCCCTGTTAATCGATCAACTTTCAGGAACACGGAAATCTCGTATGTTCATGAATTCTATCCGTGCTCTTCTATTCTTTTTCTACGTTCATCAACTAGTTTTTATCTGTTGTACTCATTTCCTGTCCCTGCTGTATGAACGTTTACTTTCATCTTAAAATTACTAATCAACAACATGTAGGTATCTGTTTTTCGTAGTTTAAACAAGAAGTGTCTTATTCCTTTGGTCGTAAATTAATGCTACGAAAATTCAGAGGTTACATTTTAACATATGACGGTCAAATCTGGTTTCGCTGCGATTTGAAACTGATTTATATGGTTATCTCTTATTTGAAAACCTAAGTAGGATGTTTCCTGCAACCTTACTAACAGACTTATGGTGGTGGTGTTAAACTCAACCTAACCACCACCTACCTCAATGCGATGTTCCTATGTAAAATCCCAAATATGTTAACGTTTTTCTTATTATAACTCTTACTCTCATGCTATCTTGTTTATTGGAATATAATTGCATTCCTGTTCAATCGTGTTCTGATTTCAGAACTTATCGAGTGATGTAAAATGTCCGGATAAAACTTAGCAATGAATAGCTGGGTCATAGTAAGGGAGATCATAATAAGTGCAATCAAAGATAAACTAATATACGTTTAGTGGTTATTGAATATATATTTTCATTAGTACTTTTTCACTACACGTATTGTATTTCATTCGTTTTTTGTCCTTATCGGTTATAACTATATAAGATGTTCATTTCTGTCTATGAAAATTGTGGCTGTTTTGGTAGCTGTTTTACATTGTATTGATGCAGAGTTAATATTGGGTTAAGCAAAATAAAGACAATGCACAGAAAACAGTTTGGTTTTTTACCAAATGATTTAATATAGCTTTACAATCTTATTCGTAGTTACTGTACATGTAGTTGCCTACGATAAGGAAGCAGTTTACCTTTGATATATCCTTTCATCAGATATCTATTAAAGACTATAGTTTATTGTTCATCTGAAGGAAATATTTTCCTCAGTTCCGACAATCGAGTTTCCCAGATTGTTTTTCACCTCAGCGTGTATATACCAATCTACTTGTCCCCAAACAGTGCCCATTCCAAGCGCTTATCTGAAAACTGCGTAGCATAGCTATCTACAGGTAATTACAAATCGTTTATTATTTACGTTGTTGAAGATATGGCCATATGTGTCCACTAGAATGTTCATATGAAAATACTCACTAAGTTTGAATGACTTGTTCCAAAGAAAGCTGGATGAAAAATCTACGTGCAATAGAGGCTTTGGCAATTCATTAATTCAAGCCTGGTTTTCGTGCTTAGAAGCTGTGTCCAATCTCCTATTTTACTGTGGTCATAACACACCTTTCTTACTTTATAAGTTGTTTTTGATACATGTTTACATCTTCGTATTCGTCAAATGGATAATCCTTCACATCTCTCCTCTAAATAATACTTATATTCTTATTACACCGACTATTAAGTAGCTTTATCAGACACTTAAAATTTTCGGCTAACTTTTGACTTTTGCTTTACATCTTTCTATTTTGTTATGAACTTATGCATAGAATAACCAGGAATACGGTTGTACAACTTTTGTAATTGATATCGTCGAAAGATTTTCTCCGAACTGTCTTTATTTTGCTTAATTTTAGATTCAGAATAAATGCTTATGAAGTAGAATAATAATTCCTGTAGAAAAATTTGCCGTTAAATCTACCTCGTAACCCTTGTTTCTGACATACTTGTTAGGGAGCATGAAATTCAGTTCGTTCTCAACTTTATGTTGAAAATTACATGGCATATCTTATTGTTGTGCAAGGTACTTTTAAATGCTAATACTGGATATATCTTATGTACCTTGTCATTTTAGATTATACTGTTGACTATGAAGCACTCGGCGCACTTCTAGAATGGTCTCTTTGCCGAGATAAAGGAATTTCAACAGCTGATGATAATTTTCCGACACATGTTAAACCTGTACATGGTATTGTGCCTAAATGGCGAATTCGATTGAGTCAAATACCTCAAGACAATTGGGTTGGTTTGGTCGTCAAACCTAATCACTTACCGGATAGTGATCCTGGTATGTTTTCCATCTCAAAAGTTAGTTCGGAAACTGCTTCAAGTCCTGCTCCGGAAACTCTTGCTTCTAAACTTGGTGATATTCAGAATGTCAAAGGCTCTTCTCCTCTAACTTATTCCGACTACTATAGAATTAAATATCAACAAATGAAAACCATATCTTTCACAATAGATCCCTCACTACCATTGTTCGAATGTCTGAGAATAACACGTCATCAAAATTCGACTCAAGTTAATGCGGGTCTGAGGAAAAATAAAGCATCTATCAAACCATCACTGTTCCTAGCTGATGCTTGTTTAGTGCATCCATTGTCATCATGGATTTGGTTTCAAGTTTCCTTGTTACCATCAATTCTCTACCAAATGTCACGAGCGTTACTAGCTTCACAACTGTTTACAGAGTTGAATTATGAACTGAAAAGTCCTCAACCATTCTCTCAAATCCGAATAAATTCATTAACTATAAGCAACGATTCACTTTCTCATACAACCATACTTGTCCCTGATCGTTTAAGTGTTCCTGTTTTTTTGAATGGTGAACCAATGGAACAAAACATCTTTGATTTTGAAGTGGATAGAGCAACTTCAGAAATAGATAAAGAATTGGATAATAAAGCCCATAGCGAAAGTTTAGAGAAATCTACAATTTGCCCTCACCCTAATAATTTGTTTGAACCAACTACATTACTCGGAGCTCGAGATGCAGTAGATCTTGAACGTTTAGAATTTTATGGTGATTCGTTCCTGCATTTCATAGCTACATTATGTGTTTATGGCACCAATCCACAAGATGCTGACGAAGGATGTTTAAGTTCTAAAAGAGGTTCACTCGTATCGAATGCTCATCTCTGCGATATTGCTTGCGACTTGAAATGGTATGAATATTGTACCGGTCAAACATTTTCGCCACCAGAACACTTTTTACCCCCATGCTACTCTGTTGCATCGGAGGTTAGTGACAAATTAAGGTTTCTATAGTGTTTTTTTACTTCCTAAATTTCTTTATTATATATATATATATATATATATATATATATTCAATGGGGAAAATTTTCCACTTCTTTACTTTACCATATTATACAGCTCCCTTTACTTCAAGTATTTTCATATATTGTTTCCCAACTGGTACATAATGAAGTCTGTTATTTAGTTACATATTCCTTTTTTGTGTACGCTTACGTATACCCTTGTAAACGCACATGAATTTTTAAAGTATAAATTTTATGTTAGGTGAATTGAGAAGTCACATTACATCACACTGAACGCTGGCCCAGTATACATTTGAATATATATATATATATATATATATATATATATATATATTTGTTTGTATACATTCAAATCAATGTTTTATCTGTATTCGACAATAACTACCACCGTTAATTTACCCTTTAGCAATTATAGTAGCCCTTACCATATGTATATGCCTCCTGGGACCGGTTTTGGTTCACGAAACATTCCTTTAAAATGTATATGCCTAAATAAAATTGGCACGATGTGTATTAGAAACAAATTCTTGGGTCTAAAATTTAGTAAAAAAAAACACTTCAGACTTCATTTATTTGTTTGATGTTAAAAAATCGATGGACAGATTATTGAACCTCATTACTTGAGTGAGTCTATGGTCATTTAGCAACCTTTTTAGGCAGCTAACCATAATGTCTCTCGTTCAGATAGCTGATTATCAACATGCTTATTTGATCAACATACTTTGTTTTATTTCCGTGTTTGTATTAACATAAATCCGCCATATTCACATAGTGTTAATTTCATCTGATTTTTTAATCCTTCAGGCCCATGTTTCGTTACTCATTGGATAAATGCATAATAATTTAACATGAAAATTCTGTTTTCTTTTTCACGCGAACATTCTCATAAATATTCATTTTTAACATTGTCCCAGTTTATGAGTTGATTTAAGTCTAGAATAAAGACAGTGGGGAGATGCTGTTAAAACGAACTGGATGTAAAGCGGGTCAACGACGAATGTATAACAACACTTCGACGATAATAATCACATGAGGCTAGGAATAGAGAAAGCAGAATTTTTTATAACTTCATACCTCAAGATGGTTATGCTAGTAAACATCAAAATATATATATTATTGTCAAAGTAGTCAATAAGAACAAGTGTGCATTACATGGTATTGCGGCATTACAAAGGTTAAAATAATATTAAAGTGTGGAGAGAAGAAACAGTAATATTTGTTGTGGCTATACCATAATGCCATAACAGTTATGATGTGAGTCGACCCTGGAAGACTGTAAATGTACCTCCGTTACCATACAAAGATTTGTATGAATGGCTAGAAGTCATACCTTTTCTTTAAGTAATGGTGGAAATACCTAGCTGATCGATTTAAAAATAAAAGCGATGTAGTTCAAGCCCTCAAACAAAGAGTTGGAGCTCATGTGTGTTAACTAGTAGGTCATCACTTCACTGTAAACAAATGTGTAAACTTGACCAATGTCTTTTGCCGTTCGATCCCTTAAGCATACCCCCGAATGCCCTGGTACGGCCGAGGAGGGAGAGAGTTAGCTCTCCCTCTCGAAATGCTCTCACATGGCTACTTGCGTACAACCACTGCCAGGGACGTCCTCAAAGCGGGGATGCTGTTTACGAAATTGAGAGGACGAAAAGCTAATGTTCGGCTATTTAACCAGGTTGGTGGATATGGAGGTTTCATCTAGGGGAGTTGAAAAACCCAGATTCCAAAGTAATGGTGCACATGGGATCCAGGATCCTGAGGGAACAAATGGAGTTTGAACCAATTATTGGTCACTGGTTACCAGGGGACTTCATCTCCTTACATTGCTCCACTGCCTTGTGGATTAGGCCTTTAGGTCGAAGGCTCTGAGTGTGACCCCCTAAGAAAACTACCCGCTTCGGTTTGGGCACCCGGGAAGTGTCACAACCTATACACATATCAAGTGACTTGTGCGGGGCATATTTATTCTGTACCATTTTGTACCGATATTTATATGTTCAAACAAATAAATAATAGTTCTCAACCAACTATGCAAAAGAACAGACTGAACTAAGTAACAAAGGTCCTGAATAGAATCACAATGCACATAATTCATAGGTGTATTTGTGATTATGCTGTATAAGGATATACAGACTGAGACTTTGAATATGGGTATACATGATTTGCTACAACGTGTTTTAGAATTTTTTTTCTTACCATTGAACCCTTAAATGGCATGTGAAAAAAGGGGCGTGATATACTTAGACTCACCCAGCCTATCGTTTGATCTTGTTAATCGACCGTACACTTTTCACCATCAATGTGACAACGATTCAGGTATCTCAGATCACTTTTGACCAGTCAGTACTCATTTTCTTACCACTTAATTATTTTGTGTATTTTCTCTTTGTAGGCTTGTAAATATGATCCACGTCTGTATACTCGTTTAACAGATAAATCTTTGGCGGATATGGTGGAAGCACTTATAGGTTGTTTCTTACTACGTTCAGGACTATCTGCTGCATTTAATTTACTTCATTATTTTCAAATATGTCCAGTGAGTTGGAGTACCTTAAAAAATGATAAGCATTACAAAGTTGAAGCTCCATGGCACTTTTTTTTACAACCAAAATTATATTCAGAACTAAATTGTGGAAATGCTCTCAATGCTTCATGTAGATCCTTACATATTTCTAAGGAAATTATACTGGAATTAAATCAGAGGTTTTTCCATTTACAAGAAAAGCTAGGTTATTATTTTAAAGGAATTGAATTACTTGCGGAAGCTATGACTCATCAGTCATCAATTAATAAACAATATTGGGGGAATTACCAAAGGTATTAATATTCTCGACCGTTTTCCGTAATGAGGTTTCTTTTGAAAAGCAATTTTTACCGTTTACTTAATTGTTCCAATATTATTGTGCTTAATTTTTTTTTAAATTTTCATCTATCCTGTATTGTGAGTTACATAAGCGACAACTATCCCTACATAATTTAATGTATGGTTTCACGTAACGTGATTTGGCAAATAGTTTGAAGTATCTCATTTTCACATTATAAATGTTATAATTTTTAAATTGCGTAAAATTTACATTCAAATGAACTACACAGAACCTTTATTATTTATATGTTTCACTCGTTCAAATTGATCAACTAAGTTTGCGCTTATCGCATCTATACTTAAGATTAAAGCTCTAGGTAAGCGTTTGAACGATCAAAGTCATTTCCCTTGCAGGATAAGCATCAAAATATGTCGACTGATCAAATCATAATATTGAATCCAGTCGAGCTTTTTTAATGCAGTATAATATGTATCAAATAATAATACGTCAAAAAAGAATTCAATAAAATAACCGGCAAATGCAAGTCGAATATAAGAGTATTCACTAATTATATTGAAATTTAAAAATGAACAATATTTGAGCGAACAATTGTTTTCAATAACTTCATCATCAGGCTCTATAGTTATAAGTCCATAATTATCGTGATATTTTACAACGGCCAAAATAAGGCATGCATTAATGAATTTGACAATGTTATATGTTAAAATTGGTGAATGTTTGCATTTGTTACGACGTATATACTTCAAAATTGTGTTATTTGCAAATTGAAAAGGTCATTTAATAAAGGTTAAAATGATTTGCAGTAAAATGTCCGGTCACAATCAGTATGATAGTAATATAGCAAAAATGAAAATGCAAAAAATCGTGTGAATAAGATGTATTTTAAAATTTCAAAAAATGAAATACTTGATCTTTTGAAGCTTCTGATTCTTAATTGTGTGTGTGAATATTTGCTTCTTAAAGTTTCCTTTAATGATATCCATTCAATTCACCTAAATGTCACATTTGTTATCGAATTGCAAATATTTTTGTTTATCGCTCGTAGGAAGAACGAACTTATAAATTTACTGCATTTAAATTCAGACCGTACTTTGTAAAGGGACGGAAAAAGAAAAAAATTGACAATAAAGTCTTTCTGCAATAATACTATAGATAATTGCTAAATATTACTTCATACAAGTATACCACTCTTTATTATAATTTGCATTCGATATATTTAACTCTTAGAATCAGTTTTTAGTTCTAAAACAATTTGTATAGCATCTTCAAACCTACTCAGGAATACTTTTGTCTGAACTAGTTTAAGGCTTAATTCCTATTCATTATCCTATGGATTACTTTGTACTAGCACAGACAGATAATCGTCAATATACGTTAAATGTATGTGCATGTGAATGTATGTCTGTTTGTTGATCTGCCTATTGTACCAAAGTATGAATATATGATGGTCCACCAGGGTGATTGGTACCTGTGTGGTTGCGCCACAGGATTGAGCTGTGCTATTCAGATTGTAGCGTTGAAGCCTATATGATGTCTGGCTCTCCTGCGAAACGGGATCGAGCTGCATTGCTCGGGTTAAGCCTGAGGGCGGTGTCTGGCTCTCCTGTTAAACGGAATCGAGCTGTACTGTTTGGGTTGTCACGTGAAAGTCTGGATGGTTTTCCTGAAAACCAATGCAAAACTACCCGGGCCAACAAGGGTATATTATATAACTGTGAATGGATGTATAAACTCTACCAGCAACCGACATACTGATCGGACAATAAATCTAATCTAAATTTCATCCATTCTTTCACTATCATGATTTATCTATTAACCTGTATCCCTGGAATATAACATTCCCAAATCATTTCTTATTAAATGTCTTATTATCTCATTGTCAAGTAAACTTTTTACAGAGCAGGATAAAAAAATGTACAAAATTAACCATGGGTCGAGTACGAATAAATTCAGATATGTTCACTAAATGTGATACAATTTGCTATTTTTATAAGTTTAAGTTTGGTAAAGAAAACAACCGCAGCAGAAAAATATAATAGATATAAATAGGGAAAGAAAATGTCTATTTCTTTCGAAATGAAACTGTAGTATCCTGTTTCTTGAACAAATTATTCATTATCTCATTTTTTTTTTCGATTTCATTCAGAGGTATTTTCAAATTTCACTAATTAGTTAGTTTGTGTGATATTGAACTATGTTTTTTTCTTACAAAAAGAAGTTATCGACTCATTTGACTTCTCAATCATAATTTCACTTCTGTTTTGATAACTTTTCATTTTTGTTATTTTATATCCTTTAGATTTCATGCTTCTTATTTTGTTTGTTTGTTTATTTATTACTACTCTTCACTTGACATACTATCGTCAAGTGGTTATCACTTTTTTAATTTTATCGCACCAAAGGTTAGAATTTCTTGGTGATTCCATTTTGGGCCATATTATCAGCAACTATCTGTTTCAAAAATGTCCTAACTCATCTCCAGGTTAGCTTATTTTAGATTATTTGTTTTCGCTTAAGATATAAATGTGACAAAGTTTCAAAAATATTTTCGATATATGACTTGATATGTAAAACTATTGCAGAAAAATAAGAGTTTATATTCTTCATACATGTACTAATGAAGCCGTTCCTTAAAATTGTACACGGTAATTGATATAATGGTCAAAGGTTAATCCCGCTTATCAGAACTTGATTCATTGGAGTGTAAGTGACCTACACTTGCAAAATTAGTTCTTTATGCTTGCCTATGACATCTATTCATGTTTATTTTTCTGTTATTAATTTGTATATAAGCGTGTCGTTTTATTAGTTAGAAGGTTTATTTTTCTGGTTAGTGGTTTTGTCTTTGATGTCAGCTTATTTGGGTGTTTGCGTCAGTAACCCGGCCCCTTAAGCAGCCATCACTTAGCCACATTTTATCGTAGGATATCATATATCATTCGGGATTCTATTCATGCATTTTAATAATCCAGAACGGGAAATTTCGAAGAAGAGTGCGTACTGATTGATAATGGTCTTCGGAAGAATGCCTATCCTCAGACGTATTTAAAAAATATAGTACTAAATACCATGAGAGTCAACGAACCCAAAAAATATTTTTATCCGATCGAAATTCAAAGGTGATCAAATTTGAAACTGACACTAAATATTTAACAAAGCTCCGTTAGAACTTTAATTGTTCATTTACGTTGCAAACAAGTTATTTTTTATTGATGAATGATTAGTTTCAAATGATATCAGTGATTCGAAACTCGTCCACTAAATAACTGAAACTCCCCCATAACAGTTATCTACTTTCAGTAATCTGTGATACGTTTGATTCCAAATGTTATATCTTTGTATATGGTCAGAGTTGATTGTATGTAAACATTTTTAAATACACATCCTTATCTATTGGTTTAAGATCAGTGTGATATCATTTTAGCCTGTCAAGTTTTAGTAGTTTTAATGTATTAATGTTAAATATTTGTTATATACTATTTGTTATTTGGGGATTTGACATCCCCAACATAAATATTATTTACAAATTGCGTTTTATTAGGAAAACAAAAATAATTGTATCACTGTGTTGCTCTTGAAGAATCAGTGTATCTAAGATAATATCGTTTTTTTTCATCCTTAGTCGTCGCTTGTAAATATCATTGTCGAAAGCTAAACTAGTAGTTATCAAAAGTAATGACAAAATTTTGATCAAGGAACTGGCTAGATCAGCGTTATGTGGTTGAAAATCGTCAAACAGAAAACCTTGGATATTATTATCTAGTCACATAGAATAATCATTATATAGCAACTTGATCGTTAGAAATCCATTGACCTAATGAATAAACAGAAGTGACACTATTAAGTACTCAGGGATCAATCACTATAACTGACTGGGTTGTTTGCAAAACAGGGTTCCAACATCTTTTTCCTTTTCATCTTTTAAATTGCCTGCATAATCCATACAATGTCCAGTTTCGACTGAATCCAAATAAATGACTTCCGTCATACTGTGTAGACCGTTAAGAAATGACTCATGAAGGATAGACTGGTTTTCGTTCAGTTTTTAGATATATTGAGCGTATCTTCACCTTCCACCAGCTGTTGGAATACCGTCATACTTATTGCAGGCCAACAACTGTATTTTTTCTTCATATCAGAGCCGCCTTCGATTCATTGGACAGGGTTGTGCTCTGAAATTGTCAGTTGAAGATGAATGTACTCGAAAACTTTATTAACATCTTGAAAGCTCTGTATACAAACACCAGTCAGAATGAGGACATACAACAACCTCTCACCATTTTCCCGTTCAAGCATCGGGGTTAAGCAGCTTTTCTCTTTCTCATCATTCTTGTTCAACTTTGCCACGGACTACATTCTGGAAACAGCTCTGATGTAGGTAATGGTGGTATAGATCTGTTACTTGGCGAATGACTCTTTGATCTTGAGTATGTCGATGCTGTACTACTCTAGTCCATCTTTGGAGCCGTCGTGATGTTAATGTATCTGTAAAAGGTAGGGTCTACAGTGTCTGGCCTTTGCGAACTAAGGATGTTTGACGATCCCCTGTGTTTGATCGCCATTGGGTCTGAAGGAACGTTCACATTTGGTGACAAAATTATTTTAGTGATATCGAGGTTCAGCAATGTGTGTTCGGGCAAACTGACGATAATTTAATTGTTAGTTATAATTTATTTATCACCCCGTTATTATTTGCCATCGGAATCTTGATTTCGATTTGTTTCAATAGATTATTAAAACTGTTGAAAGTCATTTTTAGTCAAATGATGTGTAGTTTCTATGGTTGTACAACTGGAAGAGCGAAAAATGAACTTCATCGTTGAAACACCTGGTTGCATTTAAATGCTAATCATAATTAATTTGCTAACATTATTATTAAATAATTGAAATGAACAATAATTATGTATGTTCTCTTCTAGGTGCGCTGACTACTGCAAGATCTGCTGTTGTCAGTAATATTAATTTAGCTAATGTTGTTGTTGAGCATGACATTCACCCGTTCATCGATTTTGGGAATTGCAGTCTGAAAGCATGCATTGATGATATAAAGAGTATCCATCGTCAAACTGATTCACATTTTGAACGTATCGAGGTAGACTACTACATCTCTTCTATAGTTTAATATTTTTTGCTTAATAAAATCAATATGGTTCACTGAGTTTATTTTATAACAAATTATGTAGATGGCTTAAATGTGGCTTAATATTTTTAGTACATTCTATTGTGTAATAATTTCTTTCTCTATTTCCTATATTAATTGAGTTAGTACAGTCAATGGATGCTAATTACTTATTTTTAGAAATCAATGAATAAATTGTTTTATTAGAAATGGTCAGTATTAATGTAATTGTGTCCACGGTTCGAGACTAAAACAAATTTTTTTAGAAATTCGTTTTGTTGTAAAAGTAGCTTTCATGATGGAGTGCCACCAGGAGGGGATCTATTTAGACTCAGGAAGCACTAAATATTTGTTTTATTCTAGGTTGGAACTCCTCAGAAGTATGGGACTGGCGATTCTTGCCTGATCTCAATGTTACGTAAAACAACTTTGTATCAATATAAACAGTTGAATTAATACTACAACTAGTTGATTGGCGATTCGATTATTCCGTTGTTGATATTTTGGCTGAAATTTGGTTAGTTTTCGTTGACATATGTACATCCTGTGCGAACTGCCTCTGAAAAGTTTCAAATACGACGAAACGCTCGTTCTAGATTCCACTGCAAGCCACATTCCATCCATTTTATACTAACTTGTTAATAATAATATTTGTATTCCACAATTAATTTCCCTTATCAGCTTCATGATAGTGAGACGACTCAAAACACTGATATCAACAATACGAATACATTCATTCTTTACCTTTTGACAAGTGTTGGGCGCAATATTATTTCCTAATTACATTCATTTTTTTCTCCTTTTTATTTCCAATTACTATTAATCTTTTGATCATTATTTCCTTAATGGTTTGTCATTATTGATTCTTATTAAAATGTTATCCTCTTGAAAAATTTACTCTTGATATATTTAACTATTTTGATTTTTTTCCATCAACGTAAACGTGTTCCATTCTCGCACCAAGTTTTAAATAGAAGTTATATTTAACCGTTTGACTATCATATTATGTTTTGAACCACTAATTGAACGATATGTATTTACTAAAATACATGGACTAAGGTTCATATGAGCATCGATTAGGTTTATTTTTAGTTTTTTTGACGTAATAGAAGTGTTTCTTTGAAAATTCTTATTTGCCCTATAACTATTTCTTTAGGTACTTTGATTGTCTTTATATTCCACAATTTATTTAGCTAATTACAAAGAAGGTTTCTTCGGGACTCAATGTCAAGGTGTTAGCTGATGTGTTTGAATCGATTCTCGGTGCAATTTTTGTAGACAGTAATGGTAATCATCAAGTCGCGTCTTCTATTATTCATCGATTCCTGGGTAAAACTATGAGTACGTTTTTCCTTAATAAAAATTCTCTACTATATTGGCTACTGATTTTTGAACCCTTTCTTACTACTTTCTTACCTTTGTAATCACCTACAAACGCATGTGTATGTGTGTTATTTATTTTAAATAACTTCATGTAGTTAAATTGTAATGAAATTTATTTCCAGATTGTTGACACTTTTCAAGAGTCACTTGCAAACTTGAAGAAATAGATTCTGTTTCATAGTTTTCGGTTGTGTAAGTAAATTACCAATTCGACATACCTCAGTGTTAATCATTACCACTTATTGTTCGAAACGTTCTGAAGCTCCAAAGTCAATCGAAATTTTATTAAAGGTAGCACTTTCATACTTTCTAGGATTTCAGTGTCGCCAGTTATGGTGTAACATGTCATAATAATAAAATAATGTCATTGTGGTGTATGCTACTAATGTTGATGGAGATAAGTAGTATGTAACACTAATCAAACCAGCTACCAGCTAAAGAGGAAATTAAGAAAAGATAATGAAAGTGGATAGGACATACATTACGGAAATCACCAAACTGCATCACGAGACAAGCGCTAACTTGGAATCCTGAAAGGAAATAAAAAAGAGGAAGGCTGAAGAACACATTACGCCGGGAAATAGAAGCAGATATGAAAAGGATGTGTAGTAACTGGAAAGGATTGTCCAGGACAGAGTTAGATGGAGAGTGCTGGTGGGCGGCCTATACTCCTCCGCGAGGGGTGACAGGCGTAATTAAGTAAGTAACACCAATCGGAAGTGGGAACCTTGGCAGCAGAAGACTAAGAAGATCAACATGAAAAGGATGGAACGGAAAATAGAAATGAATTGTGAACTGGAAATTTGCTAATGAAGTATTTAGTGTATGGTTCTTATATTTTACCAAGATACTCTGCAATTTTGTACTAAAAAACAATCTGTTGTCCTCACCTGTGTTCTCGTTTATTACGACATCACATTCTTACATTCGTTTTTAATCCAATTTCCTAAACAATAATGAGTTGTATGGTATAAATATCGACTCGTGTTTTCTAACCAAGAACCATAATTAAGACCTTAATAAAGTACTACAAAATCACTCCCCGGCTTTTCTGACTTTAGTGACTCAATAAGCCTCGGAGTAAAGGCTGCACTAGTCGACCGAATCCTGATTGACAGTCGTATATAGAAAGTGGACTGGGAAATAAACTCTAACTGTCTGATCTCCCTCGGAGAATAATTATCTTGCTCTGCGCTTAATGCTTTAGTGAGTGGTTTGTAGTTCCTTTCAAACAGTAAAATTTATACCTTCTACTCTATGTCGAAAATGTTTTATTGCCAAGTAAATTGCTAGTAATTCTCTTCCAAAATTACTATATCGTTTGCGTAGGATTCAATCTCTTTGAGGAAAATGAAAGCGGCTCCCATGTGCCATTTACTAATTGTTGTAAAACAGCTCCTACCGCCACATTCAATGCATCTGTCATGATAGCCAATGGTGTTTCGCTCTTCTAGCTAGTGTAGTTTGTTTGTTGAGTGCTTTCTCGGCGTTCTCGAAGGCCTGTATTGCCCCTGCTGATAACTGGAATGTCCGGGCGTGTCCCCATTACGCATCGGTCAATGGTTGAAGTATTGCCGCACAATTTGAAATAAAATGTCTGTAATAATTTGTTAGTCCCAGAAATCGTCTTAATTTCTTCGGTGAGTCGTGTAACGGATAGTTTTTGATGGCATCGACTTCTGTCGAGATCAGTGTAATACCTTGAGAAGTTACCATGTGACCAAGGAACTATAAGAATCCCTTTCCGAACTCACACTTTTCAACGTTTATGAAAATGCCATGTTCTCTTAGTCGCACGAATAATTGTCGTAGCTGCTGTATATGCTCGTCTATAGTAGTGCTGGCTACTAGTAAATCATCGATGTGCGCGTATATTTCAAGTAAGCCTCTGGTGACCTGGTGGATTAATCGTGGAAATGTTTGCGCTGCGTTAGTCAGTCCAAAAAGCATGCGTAGGAATTCATTTGGCGCAATCGGGGTCGTTACCGCTGTCTTTGGTATGTCCTGTGGCGCGACCGGGATGTGATAGTATGCTCTAACTAAATCGATTGTCGAGAAGACAGTATCGCCTTTTATGCTGTAAGTGAAATCATGGATGTGTGGTATAGGATATCTATCGGCTACTGTTTACTTGTTGAGAGCTTGGTAGTCTCCATATGGCCTTATTTCTCCATTCTTTTTCAGGACCATGTGTAACTGGGACGCCCATGGGCCGTTTGAAGGCTTTACAATGCCCAGCCTCATCAACTTGTCAAATTCCTGTTTTGCAGTTGCTAGTCTTTTTGGGTCTAATCTTCTTGGCCTTGCGTTAACTGGTAGTCCGTTCGTTATGATATGGTGTTGAATGGAATGCTTAAGATCCTCATTACTGTACGTTACTTTCACGAGTTCGGGAAACTTCTTTAACAACAATTTACGTGGATCACCGCGGCTTTTATCTATCACCAGATTCATGGAAACGGATTCTGTAAGTGTTCCTCTTATCGAAGTAGTGTGACTACCGTTTATAAGTCTGTGGCACCGCGAGTCTACTGGTAGATTGAAGTTACATAAGAAATCTATATCTGTTATGGGTACTGACGCGTCTGCTATGACAAAGTCCCAGCGGTATGAAGCGTCTCGTCCGAAATCTAGGGACAACTTTCGTTTGCCGTATGTTTTGATATCCGATTTGTTCGCCGCTTTTAGCACTAATGACGTATTAAGGTTTATTTTATCTTCGCTTACTGGAAGTACTACGCTAATTTCCCCTCCCGTGTCAACCAAGAATTGCGCGTCTGTCGTTCGGTGTTGTATATAAAACCGGCGGCTATTTGCAGGCGTTATGTTCGCTGATGGCGTCGTCATGGACAATCGTGGGTATCGCTTACCTGCTATGTTAAATCTACAAGGTTGTAAACATTTTCTAGCTCTATAACCGTACATTTGATGATACCAACATATCAATGGAGCTGCGCGTCTTCTGGAAGCTGACCGGCTTCTGCCGCGCAAGCCATCTCGTGACAATTTTCGTGGCCTCTCATTCTGTGAGCTTGCGGCACAAAACATTTACCTCCTGTAGAGTACTGATCCTATCATCTACCGTCATGCTGTGTAATTGAAGGCTTGTTTGCTTTGCTCTTTCGTATATCCTATCAGCTATTTTCGCTATGTTATCTGTGTCGGCGTCAGTATCTCCAACGCCTAAGATCTGTTGTACATTGGACGGGAGTCGGCGAAGCCACAGTTGATAAAACAAGCTATTGTCTAATTTCCTATCTCCCAGTAGACTTTTCATATAATTTTTTTAGCTGCGATGGAGTTCTATTCCCCATTTGTACTTAGTTGAGAAGCTGTCCAACAGCTCGTTGGTCTCTTAGAGAGACAGTTTTAATTACTACTTGCTTTAATACGTCGTACGCCTCTCGTACGCTATCTGCTACTTCATCTGGGAAAAGTGTGCTTGTAAGGCCAAATTTATTTCTTTGCAAGTTAATGCGGTTAGCCAAAAAGTAATTTTCGAGTCTAATAAACCAAAGCTGCGGGTCAGTGACCTTAAAAAAAAGGGACAGAAAGATTAAGAGTCCTCACGGATGGGTTTCACTGTAAACTTGACATAGTATTTTTGGAAGACATGTTTACAAAGAAATTTTTAAATAATACACAAATATAATGTAAATGTCACAAAGGATATGGACGAACAAAAACAATAATAATAAAAAATGGTACAACTTGTAACATAGAACAGACTTACTAAATTGCGATTTAGAACAATATATATAAGCGAACAATATTGTTTTCGATTAGATCCTTGAGTATGCGGATGATATTGTCTTACTGTGCGATAATGCTCAAGCCATGCAATCCGCACTTAATCAGTTGGCAATCAGTGTCCGCAGGTACGGCATGTGCTTTGCACCCTCTAAGTGCAAAGTACTCTTACAAGACTGGCAGGATTCTCATCCTGTACTCACCCTAGATGGTGAACAGATTGAAGTAGTTGAGAAGTTCGTGTATCTAGGTAGCTACATAAGTGCTGGTGGTGGCGTGAGTGATGAGACTGATGCACGTATAACGAAAGCCAGAGCGGCTTATGCCAATCTGGACCATTTTTGGCGCCTTCGTGATGTTAGTCTGGCTGTAAAAGGTCGGATCTACAACGCGTCGGTGAGAGCAGTTTTGCTCTATGCTTGTGAAACCTGGCCTCTCCGAGTTGAGGATGTTAGACGTCTCTCTGTGTTCGATCATCGTTGTCTCCGAAGGATTGCTGACATCCAGTGGTAACACCATGTTAGTAATGCAGAGGTTCGACATCGTGTGCTCGGGCGCAAAGACGATAATTCAATTGGTGTCGCCATCTTGAAACACCGACTTCGGTGGCTTGGACATGTTTTACGAATGTCGTCCCAGAGACTTCCTCGTCGTGCATTATTTGCCGACTCTGGGACTGGCTGGAAAAAGCGGAGAGGAGGTCAGTGTATGACATGGTGTCGTGGCATGAAAGAAAGCTGCAAAGGGCTAGCTTCTGTTGGTCCTTCACGACTCCCTGGCTGGGGTCCGAGAGATGGTGCAACACAGTGGCTAGAGACGTTATCAGATATGGCTCAGAATAGAATCCAGTGGCGAGCCTGCTGTAACCTTCTACTTTCTTCATAAAGAGCGGCTATAACTTTCCTAACTGAGAGAGCTCTTCTGGTTGTACATTTCAGTTCCCCCATCATTACTCTTCTCCTTTTCTTTTTTTCTTTCCTTTATATATACGCATCTTCTTCCTTCTCCTCCCATTCTCATTATTTTGTGTGGCGCATATGTATCCGGTGCCCTTTGTACCAATATATATGTGATTAAATAAATAAATAATAAATAAATAGATCCTCATCAGGTTTTACTCTAATATACAGTAATATTTATATGCATATACGAGATTATTTCTGTGTATTAGAGTAAAGCCTGATAAGTATCTAATCGAAAACAATATAGTTCGCTTATATATTTTATTCTAAATCACAAACTGGGGATTTTTCAAATTTTACTAAATTGCACCAATATATAAATTGTTTGTGAATAATCGTTTTTTATTATGATTATTGTCGTTACGTCCAATAATTTTTGTAAGATAACGTACGTGTAATTAAAATAGTGATATACTAAATCCACAATTATGATTATAATTCATATAGTAATCCGATTTGAGACGAAGTGTGTTGAGTTTTCGGAATTACATGATATCGTCGAAAATTGTTTTGTGTTCGTACGTTGACGTTACCGATTTTGCTTCGGGTTCGTAAGTCGGGGTCGCCAATTCTGTAGTGCCGTGCTTCGTTAATCGTTCACCTCGATGACTTATAATACAAATCTCAACGGTGCATGACATCAGAAGGCAAAGAGAAGCGGCAACTACAGTTTATTATCAAATGGCGCAGGCCAGAAAGCTACAAGCACATGCAAATATCAGCGAGCGAACGAGCGCGAGCAATTACATAGGCAAATTTATAGCCGAATTGTACAAGGGCGCAGCAAAACAATGCAAAAGTTAATAGTGAGATTTAAGTGCGTGCATATATGGGGGGAGGATGAGAGATCGGATGATATTTAAGCAATCAACGTTTTGGCTACAGTTTGTCATGTACTCTAGTGATCATAACAGTACAATGAAATATGCAAATTGTTACTATCCAAATGACAATGTATGTTAAGTAAGTTAGTAAAAGGGCTTAACCATAATCGAAATTGGTTGTAGGATTGTTGCTATACTAGGTTTGTTTGTGTGAGGTAGTTTTATGTCCATCTTGTTATTAAACAGCAAAACACATTTCAGTTAATTATTACTCACAATAGATGTTCTGGTTAATGTAGTTTTCATCTACTTACAATTGTTGATGTGATAATACTTAGGGCTTTAAATCGCGGTATATAAGCTGATTAAATTCAAATATGCTAGATACCATCTTTAAGTAGCTATATGATGAACTGTTTAATTCATTTTTGTTTTCAGTTTTCTGTTATGAAGGTATTCATTACTGTGAAATCCACTGTGTATTGTAGCTCTTTGATTATATATTTTTTAAAAATGTTTGATATTTCAATCTTTCGGATTTTTTTTTAGATTCTGTCATTACTAATTTACTCGTTCAACCAGTCAATTTACCATATCCTGATATACGATATAAGTAAGTTAAAGATGTATTCTTTTTCTCTCCGCTAAAAAACTTGTTGTAGCTCGGCTATTTAGTCCTGTTCGAAATTCATGTGCACGTTATGTGGTGAATTAGAGGTTAAATTCCCTTTTCCTCTTACCAATGTATAGCATCACTGCTTCTGCCTATATGGCCTGCATTTCGTTCTAGTGGTACTTACGCCCGTCACCCCTCGCGGAGGAGCATAGGCCGCCCACCAGCACTCTCCATCTAACTCTGTCCTGGACAATCCTTTCCAGTTACTATACATCCTTTTCATATCTGCTTCTATTTCCCGGCGTAATGTGTTCTTCAGCCTTCCTCTTTTTCATTTCCTTTCAGGATTCCAAGTTAGCGCTTGTCTCGTGATGCAGTTTGGTGATTTCCGTAATGTATGTCCTATCCACTTTCATTATCATTTCTTAATTTCCTCCTCCGCTGGAAGCTGGTTTGTCCTCTCCTACAGAAGGCTGTTGCTGATGGTATCCGGCCAGTGGATGTTGTATATTTTTTGAAGACAACTATTTATAAGTATTTGTACCTTCTTGACGATGGTTGTAGTAATTCTTAAAGTTTCAGCTCTGTACCGTATGACTGTCTTGACGTTCGTATTGAAGGTTCTTACTTTGATATTAGTTGACAGTTGTTTTGAGTTCCATATGTTCTTCAATTGTAGAAATTCTGTACTTGTTTTGCCAATCCTCGCCTTTACATTTGCCTCCCATCCTCCTTGTTTATCAATGATGCTTCCCGGGTACGTGAAAGACTCCACATCTTCCAGAGTTTCGCCATCGATGTGATTGGGTTGGTGTTCTCCGTACTGTATTTGAGGATCTTGCTTTTTCCTTTGTGTATGTCAAGGTCCATTGACGCAGAGGCTGTTGCTACATTAGTTGTCTTCGTCTGTATTTGTTCGTGTGTATGGAATAGGAGGACTAAGTTATTTGCGAAGTTCAAATCTTCTAATTGATTCTGAGATGTCTATTGTATCCCGTGCTTCCCCTCAGATGTCGAGATCTTCATAATCCAGTCAATCACTAGAAGAAAGAGGAAGGGGGAGAGCAGACAGCTTTGTATGATTCCGGTCCTTACTGGAAATGCATCTTTCAGCTGTCCTCTATGCACCACTTTGCAGTGTGGTTCGTCGTATGAACTTCATATAATGTTGACGATTTTCTCTGCTACCCATCTCATAGTGTCGAGGAATTTTGCATAATATTCTCATATTCACACTGTCAAACACTTTCTCATAGTCAAGGAAGTTGACGTATAGTGACGAGTTCCACTCAACTGATTGTTCGACGCTCCATAGTGTTGCGATTCGGTCTATGCACGACCGATCGTTACGGAATCCGGTTTGTTGATCTCAAAGTTGGGCGTCTACTGCGTCTTTCATCCCGTTCAGCAACACTGTTGAAAACTTTAACTGGTAGTGACAACAGTGTGATGCCTCTGTAATTCTCACATTTGCTCAGATCCCCTTTCCTTGGTATCTTGATGAGTTGTTCTCCTTTCCAGTCCATCGGCACTTCTTGAATAGAAGGTGAAGCATGTTTGCAGTTACTTCAATGTCTGACTTCAGTTCTTCGGCTGGGATATTGTCAGGTTCTGCTGTTTCCCATTCTTGATTTGTCTGACGGCCATCTTGATTTCCTCGGTCGTTGGTGAAGTGACATATATAGGAAGGTTTGTGTGTGCTTCTTCGATGTCCAGTGGATTCAATGGAGCTGGTCTATTCAGCAGTTCCTCGAAGTACTCTACCCATCTTTTCCTTTGTTCTTGAATCTCAGTGATTGACTTTCCTTTTTTGTTCTTGTCTTTTTTTCTTGGTTTATTTTATTTCCCTTCTAGTTTCTTCATTCTGTCATACAGTTCATGCTTATTTCTTTTTACAGCTCTTTCTACTGTAGTTGCCAGGTCTTATACATATTTACGTTTATCAACTTGAATGCTCATTCCCTGTTGTTAGATTGCTTCTGTATGCGCAACCTGTATCTTGACCTTTCATACTCTTGTTTGACTGTTGTTGATTACCGTTTTCTTGTTATTCCTTTCTTGAATCTTGTCCAGGGTTCCCATAGAGACCCATTTTTTATGCTGGTGCTTCTTACGGCTAAACACCTGTCGTTTTGAAGCTATTGCTTTTTATCTCCTTGCAGATATTTTCCATAGTATCATCCTCTCCTATGAGTAGACCTTGTTAGTTTGGAACATTTTGCTGGTAGCTATATTAAATTTGTCGAGTTTGTTGACAATATCTCGAAGAAAGAACGTATTCAACCTATAAAGTGCTGATTCTCCAGTCATCCATTTCTTTAGCTTTAGTTTCATGTTGGTCACCACCAGATGATGATTTGAAGCTGTATCAGCTCCTCTTGTCATTCTCACGTCTTCTATGGTTCTTCTGAATTTTTATTAGTGCAAATGTGGTCGATCTGGCCTTCTTCAGTGTGATCCGGTGAAACACGTGTAACAAATGTGTATGCACATACATTTTCAAACCTTCCACCATTCTCGTTCCTTTTTCCTAGTCTATGTATTCCCATGATATCTTCATACCCTATATTTTCCATTACAACTTGAGCGTTCAGGCCTCCCATCAGCATGGTCATGTCCTTTCCTGTGCACTTCTCTATGATTGACTGTAGCTGTCCATAAAATTGTCCATTATCGTCTCCATTTCTTTCATTAGTAACGGATAGCACTATATAACATTCCTTGTAATCTTTTCCGTTTTTGTTTTGAAGGGCGTTCTGATAATATCTGGATTCATGATATTCCCATCCTATAAGTGCTTATCATGCTTCTTTGGACAGCATCGAAGCAACTCCCTGGGTGTGAGAAGCATTTTATTCTTTATGACCAAAGTACAACAGCATTTCTCCCGAATACATTTTTTCTGTTCAGCTTGGGTTCAATGGGTTTCACCTATTCCAAGCACTTCCAGGTTGTATCTCTTCACTCCCACAGCTATTTTTCTGGCACTTCCGGTCTCCCGTATTGTGCGAACATTCCATGCGCTGATTAGTTGTTGTTAGGAGGGACATTGATCTCGTGACGTCTGAAGAATCGCGGTCTACACAATGACATGTTATGACGCTTCTGAATAAATACCCTTAAACTCCCAGAGTAGGATTTGAATTGTACCGATGATGTTCTGTGGTTATCATATTTTTTAGAAAAGTTGTTTTCTATGAGATGGGGTTGCTAATCCCATGCCTAATCCTCCTTTATCTGGGCTTGAGACTGACAGTAACCCTAAAAAGGCTCTAAGCGAGGTTAAACGTCTGTATAGATGGTTGGTATAACCGTTTCACATCTACCGAGCCAAATAATCAGGGACGCCATAATTCAATCATTAATTAAGTTTTTTCGAAGATATGTATAAAAAGTATAGATGTAGAACACCTGAATTGTTCTTAACTAGTCTATGCGACCAATCAATTCCCACAAAACTGGGTATGGTCACATTTTCAGTAATAAAAGTTATTCCTGTCTAGAAGGGGACTATTCAGTTGAATTCTCTTCAATAGTGGTTGATCAAATAGGAAGATTATTGGATTCTAGAATCTCGCGACAAATTATTTTCCAACAACAGTATACCTTTAAAACATATAAGGAACGAAATTTCTATTTTTTACGTATTTATTGAACCATGCAAAACCATCAACAATTCGGTCATTCAACAAAATAGCTGATATAATATAGGGTCATGTAAATTCGAACTAAGCACAGTCAGCAAAAGATGGAGTAGAATTAAAGGAATGATCAAGGCTCAAAACTTAGACAAAATCACAATTTCTAAATGAATCAAGAGTTCAACGTCGTGCACATTATTATGGAGGATTGGGGAGGATAACACCACAGACAAAATGTAGTCATTTAGAGGGGTTGTCTCACCCTTGCATGCCTATTTACATAAAATACAATAATGATTTTACTACTGTTCTTTTGATTTTTCGTTATAGTTGGTAAAATCTAAACTGTCACGTACTTCTATCTTACTTCAATGTATGTGTTCCTTGTGCATGATATAAAGAATTCTTAGAATTCTCCCTTAACATATTTCAGGTATTTATAAAGTCAGTTTACCTAAATCTATACCGGTTTCCCCATGTTGCCAACTTTAGTAGGCTACATATCGTTATTATTACGCGGTTTACATCAATATGTTACTGGACTTTCAAATTATGATTTCCAGGTATCGCATTGGATTCAGTTTGTTGAATGAAGTCATCCAAATTTCCTTGATATTTTTAGTTTGTCTAAGCATGTTCAAAACCATAAGGTCACAAAATAATCGAGAGACTAGGAATTTCGTTCTCAGCTTCTTTGATATATTTTATACACTGAAGTGTATGAGGCTGGCATCTGATCTCAACCGTTTCAGATTTATTAATCGTAGATGCTGGCTTGACGTGCTGATCAGGCTTCCATATAGTTCTGACTCAGTTGAACTTTATTGACTAAAACACTTATTTCTGGTAGACCTGCCGTGCCAAGCTGACCTGTTTGAGAGCGGTAAAACTAAGAGCAGCAACTTTAGGTCGCGGGATGGATTTATACTGATAACTTCCAAACTAAACTCATCAATCGGCGCAAATTGACCACATTATCATCAATCCTCTTTAGAGAAGCCTGATATAAGTCTGTCACCTATTATGGAGAACTTCCAGGCTCTTGATCCTCTAGTGTGAGTGCACGTTTGTCTGCGTCTCAGCGAAAGCACCAAAGACAACGGCAAAACTTTTCAAGGTTCAAGTTAACGATGAAATAATCAAGAGTATTTATTTTTATAGTGATTTTCATCCCGATCTGGTTTGATACTAGAATGGCTGTGAAAACAGCATTAAAATAAATTTTGATGTCATCTGTTGCATTAGTCTATGCTCGAAAACTCATCCCACAGGGCAACTTAAAGAATGTCTGACAAGAAGTCTACGCAGCGAACATGAACTGTGGTAGCCAGCGAAACGGAAGGAAATAGAAACTGCCGAAGTTGATCTACGGTATGAATCACAAATTAACAGATGTTCCCCAGTTTATACCGTAGAAAAATGAACTGGTGTACCTTTTCGCGCACATGTAATGTTCTATAATCAATTGAGCGATTTTTCTTCTCGAGAGTAGTGCAATTTCGTTCCTATGTTACTAGGTATAAAACCAACTAAATGTGTTTACTAGGAACTTGATGTCATTTTTATGTTAAAATGCGGTGACAAATTTGAAGGACGTCAATCCACAAGTAATCCTTCACTCCCACTTTTTTATCACCTTTGGTTATATTTGCATCTGACTGATATTCTTTATTTGATTGTAACTCCAAAATTTCACTATTACAAGCAAATTATCTTCAATTTTTAGTTTTTCCCATCATATTGTTCTTGGTGTTACCTATCCTTGTGTAATTTAATGAATAACGTGAAAGTTGAGTTGTTTGTTTTGTATTAGATATTTATTCACGGTCTTATGCTTATTATTTGACTCAGTTTTAATTTAGCTGATTGATTTGTTTGATAATTTATTTGACCTGTTTAAAATTTTCATAATGTTTTCAGCAACTCAACTGCTATGTCGCCAAAGTTACATGAAAATATTCATGATTCGGTTACATCGATTAATGGTAAGCGCCTATGTGTGACGGAAAACACGGAAAATTGTTCTCGTTCCCGAGTTGTTGAAGGATCTTGATGCATAAGACAACAAATAATTCTGATGATCAAATCAAACACTATTTTTGTTGAGATCTATTTTTTTTTACAAACATGCTTTGTATCACCTCTCGTATTTGTAAAAAAAATTTTTATTTTCTTATTCACAATGGTTCTATCTAAAAGTATACATAATCATTTTAAATAGTAAATAATGCAAATTATTCATAACCGATAAAATGATTTCTCGGTTAAATTCGCTTTTCGCAAAACTGTGCTTCCTCAGAATAACATTTTAAGCGTCCAGGTTTCTTAGCCGTATATTTATTACAAAGATTTCGTTAGGTTCCATTACATTTCACCACTCTGTAGTAATGAAAGTGCTTTCTCAGTAAGTCAGCTACAACGTAGGACCGGGCACATTTATGCATCGGTCCAAGTTGCCATACCTCGTTAGCACAACAAGATGAACACCGGATTCATAGACGTAATTAATTTAGTGGTGGTAGTATATAAAGAAAGGTTGTATATAAGGATATAGTATAGGAAGGAAAAAAAAGTTATGAAGCAATTTTAATCTCAAGGTTTAAGGGAAGATAAAGAGTGTATACACCTACGCCATTGTGATCGATTCTGAGCCATGTCACCTACAGTCTCCAACCATTGGTTACGATAGTCACACGGAACCCAACCAAGTGGTCTGCATCTACCAACATGGATAAGACCAGAAGTTAGTGACTTCAAACACTGATTGCAAGTTTTGGTTTGGCCGCCCCTAACTTTCTTCCAACCATCGTCGATACTAGTCAGCATTGCGCGTTGTGTTAATCGGTGTTCAGGCATACGTAACACATGGCCCAACCATCTCAGTCGATGAACGTTCATGACTTCATCAACTGATTTACCATCATTCCCTAATACTCTGCGTCTAACCTCACTATTACTTAGCCGGTGATCCCAGCAGATGCGAGCAATATTTCTAAGGTATCTGTAGTCAAATACTAGTAACATACGAGTATCTTCTACTCTTAATGGCCATGTTTCACAGCCGTAAATTAGAACAGCGAACTGATGCGCAGTATACTCGTCCTTTAATTGATAGACGGATATCTCGTCTTCTCCATAGGTGACGTAAGTTGGTGAAAGCCGAACGAGCTTTTTGAATCCGTGCTGATCAGACTTCCAAAATAAGTGAAGTTGTCGACGTGTTCGACTACTTCACTCTCTATCCTTAGTTCATGGGTTGACGCAGGCCAGTCCTGGAGTAACAATTTACATTTAGATGGGGAGAAATGCATCTCAAACATCCTGGCATTACTACTCAGTTCTAACAGAAAACTGCATTTTGTCAACATCTTCACCAAACAAGACTATGTCATCTGCGTATTCTAAGTCGCTTAGTGGTCCCCCTGGTAGGAGATCAATTCCTGAAAATTCTGTCGACGAGAGTGTTATTTCCAGCAATAGGTCTATAATGAAGTTAAACAAAAGTGGGGATAGTGGACAGCCTTGACGGACACCACGTGAGGTTGTAAAATCGTATGACAGTCCGACATAAGCTCTCACTCGACTGGTAGTGTTCGAGTAAAGAGCCTTCACAAGGTTTATGTACTTCTGACGTACACCTTTCAATGACAGAAACTGCCACAGAACCTCTCGGTCTATAGAGTCAAATGCTGCTTTTAAGTCAAGAAAAACTATCATTGTCAGACGCCGACAAACATGTCCGTGCTCTAAAACCTGACGAATGGTGAATATGTGGTCGATGCAGCCACGACCAGGTCTGAAGCTAGCCTGATTTTCTCGTGTTTGCAGTTCACGAGTCTTAGTTAGGCGCCCGATAATTATTGAGGCTAGTATTTTAGATGCTATGTTGGTCAGACTAATCCCTCTATGGTTATCGCAGGATGATTTTGACCCCCTTTTATATATTGGGACAATCAGTGATTGTGACCAGTCGGATGGGATTACGTCCGTCTCCCAGATTTTAGCTAAAATACTAGTCAAACTGATCGCTGAAACTGGACGATCATATTTAAGGACCTCTGGAGTTGGTCCATCTGTGCCAGCTGCTCTTCCTCGTTTCAGATTACTGATAGCCTTTTGAACTTCAAGTAGGGTCGGGGGGCCTACTTCAATGTTCCGTTCAAGTTTTCTGGGAATAGTGGGTAGTTGTGTAGTAGCTGAAGGCCAGCTAAACTGCTCCTTAAAGTGTTCCGCCCATCGTTCTAAACGTTTGGGTTGAGAGCAGATAAGAGTTCCGTCTTTTTCCGAGATTGTCTCACTTACACTTGACTTCTTAATTCCGGTTTCTTTTATTAGTCTGAAGAGTTGCCTGGTGTTGCCTACAGCCGCTGCATTTTCCATCTCTTTTGCTTTCGTTGCCCACCAATGCTCACGATCGTTCCTTAGTTAACCTAGATCTAATTTGTTTACGTTCTTCGTCGTGTTCAGAGCCTGATGGGATGAGATTCCGCGAATCCATCAGTGAAATAGACTCAGAAGAAATCCATTGGTTTTTTGGAGCCCTATGGTTTAAATGACTAATAGATGTAACTGCTGTTTCCACAGCTGTTCGTATGTCTTTCCAAGCAGCATCTGGGTCAGTCTCGTTTACAGAACTGCCTAGATGTGAACTCAGTTGTTTCTGGAATTCGCATTTGGCTTTCTCGTCCTGCAGTTCAATCCTAATGGGTCTTCTTAGTGTACTTTTCCTGCGTCCATTGAGGCGCAGACAAATGCGCGCTCGTATTAAAGCGTGATCAGAGTCTAAACAAGTATTCCAATACGAGCGACAATCTTCTATTGAGCCTCTCCAACGATGACTGATGACAATATGGTCTATTTGAGTCCATTGTTGGTTTGGTGCAGGTGGTCGCCATGTTAGACGATGTCTCTCCTTATGCTTAAAATTAGTGCTTGCTAAAAATAAACGATTGTCTGAGCATAGTTGCAACAGACGATCACCATTATCGGTTCGTTGAGCCGGAATACTAAAACACCCACCTAAATGTCTTTCTGTTTGATTCAAGCTGCCTACCTGGGCATTAAAGTCACCCGCTACGACTACTATGTCTGAGCGCTTAGCTTTCTGAAGAAGCTCAGAGAGCTTTCTGTAAAAGTCACCTTTCACTTCATCATGGCTGCAGTCGGTGGGAGGGTAGGCAGAAACGACGAAAAGGCAACGACGTGTGTCCCTATCCTTCCGAGTTTTTACGGAGCCATTTAGCCGGACAGCACACAGGCGACTGTTAACGGGGATCCATTCTAGTAGTGCTTGTTCTGCCCTCGTACTAAGTGCTATGCCTACTCCCACATGTCCACGAGAATTAGTCATGGGGTCGCTAGATACACGGAGGGTGTATTTCGTTGGCTGTCCATTTTGGCGAGGTGCGGTCAACTGAATGACCACACTGGGATCCTGTATGCGTGTTTCGGGGACACAGCATACATCAAAGGTACGAGATTTTAGGATCTTAGCCAAGGAGGCCTGTCGACCGATCTGACTTAGGGTACGTACGTTGAGGGCCCCAATGTGTAGTTTGGAGCGAGGTTTTAGTAGACCTGGGACTGTTTCGCGCACTAGAATCGTCGATCATGGTGACACTTGAGGAGGAAACCGAAAGAGGAAGCTTAGTGTTGGAAGTCGAGGTAGAAGGAATAGTAGGAAGTGAAGGAGATTGATTTTGAATACAGTGGTCTTGAGTGCTGTTAGAGGTATGAGGGTAAGTATCACTTCCCGGTTGCCCACACCGTGGAACGGTTCTTTTAGAGGTACCTAAAAAGGATATTAGGTTAGAAGTGGTCTTCATGATCTGAGAGCGTGACCGCAGTGCCCAAGGGACAACTGCTTGAGGTCGGTCACACACGACCTCCTTGTGGGTAGTTTTCGTGTTAGCTCCGTACTTGTTGGGACCTTACCGCCGGAGATGGAAATCCGTGGGATAAGGCGAGGTGTGTATTTTTAGGGTCGACCTTTTCTAACCCCACCCTTCTTGTGGGAAGGCAGCATCGCTGTTATGCTGGTTGTCTGAAGGAAACACCTTACTGTTGTCACAATCTTGTACAGTCAGCAGTACGACTTTGCCTTCGGACCTTGGGTTTGCTTCTTTTAGTCTCACCGCTCTTCAACCGACCTGTCTGGCATGGTAGAACATTGAGGAACGATTGTCCCAGCCAGTATAGCTCGATTGAATCATCACGATAGGCAAGCCCGACCACCACGTCAAGGTAGCAGCAACGGTCGTGAATGTGCTTTATAGTGATATACGGTATGTTGTGGGTTGACAAAGTCCTTACGCTATGGCGTTCAAATAACAACTCAGCAATACAGCTCAGCAATGTCGTAAGAAAACCTAAAAATAAGAGAACTGGAGACGTTTATAATCGAGGTACCTATATTCAGCTTAAGGTATTTCCTTATAAGTATACAAGTGACTGCATATTATAAACGTATTCTTCCACAATTTAGAGGATAGAACGATTGAGTTCTATCTAAATTAAGGAAGGTTGACTGGCGACTCAAGGTATGTTATTATAGGAACCAATTTCAAGGTTGGATTTGGTGTTTTCAGATGAATTGAGAATTATGTGGAAGGTTGATACTAAGTATATTTTTTGTTATATCCCAATGAGAAGGGAAGTTGCATTTCTTACGTTTCGTGACTTCATGTTAAACACTTCTGGGTAAATAAGACATCATTGGTACTCTCTGAAGAGTTCCGGAACAGTTAGTTTGTGTTTCAGTAAATTAGTGGACTGATCATAGGCTACCAAAAAGTGGCATTACTTGTGTCGGGCAAAATATTCTCTGCTGTGTGACCCTATGAGATGGGTTGTAGTGTTGTTGGACTACGTCTGTATTGTCGGTTGGTATGTTAAGCCCATATACCATATCTTAGCTTCCGGACAAGCCAATTTACCTATCCATCATGAGTCACTTTTTGACCTAGTTAATTATTTACTTTCTATATGACCGTATGTGTATGTACACTTCTTTTTCTATCCACCACATGTCTGTAATTTATTTTTATCTGACTATAAATATCAATTAACTCTTGATTAAAGTGAGTTTACTCACCTGTCATCTCCAATGAGCGTCATTTTCGCTTCACACTCTGACTTCTTGTCCAGATCAATGAGTTTACAAAATACATGTCTTCTAAATCCACTCTCTGTTATTCATCTACGCGGTTTAAGTCATTTATTACATACGAGGATTGCCAGGATATATAT